TTCGGTTTTTTTTCATGAACCGTGCCATCCCTAGTCGACAGTGATTTTGCCTGCCCGTTTCCTGATTCTGAACATGTATAAGTCCTAAATGGAGGGCAGGTCAGCACCAATATTTTTTTCTGCAGTCCTAACTGTCCATTGCAGTCTCCTCCTGACTATTTGGTGGCTGAACCAAACCAGACAGTGATGGATGTGATGGATGTGCAGAGAACAAACTGTAGTATTGCGGAGTAGAACTGAATTGGCAGCTCTTGAGGCAGGTTTAACTTCCTGAGCTGGCACGGGAAACCATCCTCTGTTGGACCCTTTTGAAAATTTTGTCTATGTTGACCGGCCACTTTAGGCCCAGGGAGACTGTGGATCCCAGAAACCTGAAGGTTTTCATAGTAGACACGGTACTATTGTGTATGGTGAGGGGGGGCAGTACTGGGGGGCACTTCTGGAAGTCTACTATCATCTCCACCGTTTTAAGCATGTTCATCTCAAGGTTGTTCTGACTGCACTAGAGAGCCAGTTGTTCAGCCTCCCATCTGTATGCAAACTCATCACTGTCCTTGATGAGGCCAGTGACCATCATGTTATCTGCAAACATCAGGAGTTTAACAGATGGGTCCGCTGAGGTGCAGTCATTTGTGTAGAGGGAGAAGAGCATAGGGAAGAGAACAAACCCCTGTGGGGCGCCAGTGCTGATTGTACGGGTGCTGGATGTGATTTTCCCCAGCCTCACCTGCTGCTTCCTGTCTGTCAGAAAGTTTGTGATCCACTGGCAGATGGGGGCTGGTACAGTCTGCTGGGTGAGTTTGGAGTGGAGGACTTCTGGAACAATGATGTTAAACAGTGTTAAATGCCAAGCTAAAGTCCACAAACAGGACTCTAGCATAAGGATAAACCAACAGTGGAATGGCTTAAAAACAAAAAGGTTAATGTTCTGGAATAGCTGGTACATACCTACCCCAAAAGAATTAAGGCTGTTATTGCAAGAAAATGGTCCTCAACAAAATATTAATGTGTACGGGCTGAATACTTATGCAAACACTAATTCAGAGTTTTTTTCTTCAGTTAAATATATCAACAGAAAATGGTTTATTTTGACGTTTTCATAAAGGTGGCCACATGCTTCAAATATAATCAATATTGTTTTAGCAATACAATGTTGTATGAGCAGTGATCTCACTCTCTGTCCATGATTGACTGACACAATTTGACACTGTAGGGTCGGTCAGCAGGGTAAATTTTGCAGCTATTGGTATTGAGTATTTTTCCATTTCGCTGAAAAGCTTTGTTCATCACTTCTTTGTAGTGATGACAGAAATGAGGCTTTGCATAATAGGAAAGACTCTCATGCACCATGAGTCATTGAGCTAAAGTAAAGTGAGTTAAGCCAGTTGGTGATTGATTGTGTTCTCTGGTTTGGGAACTCCTCTCTCACAGTAGTTTGTGATTAAAATTTCAGTTACAATAGTTACTGCAGGTCAAAATGGAATCCATACTAATTCTGTATTTTCTATGTTTTAAAATATCTATATAATTTTTCTGGCCTGATCTATATTATTAAGATTCAATAGATATTGATTACAGTATGTTTCATTCTGTATGTTTGGGTCTTTAACAACATTTCCGTGTAATGTTGCTTGTTGGTTTCTGCAGGTATCTAGCTAAGCTCTCAGCCATGGGAAGTATTTCTGAGGAGGAGACATGTGAAAAACTAAAAGGTCTGATCCAGAAGCAGGTACAGATCTGTAAGCACAATGTGGAAGTCATGGAGGCTGTGCAGCGGGGAGCCCAACTTGCTATAGATGAATGCCAATTCCAGTTCCGCAATCGTCGCTGGAACTGTTCCACCATGGAGACACTGCCTATTTTTGACAAAGTGGTCTCTCAAGGTAAGAAAGCTCTATCTCCACATTGGGTTTTGCTCAGATCAGCTAAGAACAGGCGACAGGCATATTTCCAGCACCTTGTTGAGTCCATGAAATGATGAATTCAGGCTGTTCTGTCACCAGTATTAGAAAGGTGTTCTTAAAAAAGTGTAAATGTATATCATGGGCACAGCTTCATATTGGATCAGTCAACACTAAGAAACTATCGTAACATATTAATGTACAATCAATGCTTTGTTTTCCTTTAATAGGATGTATTTCACACATACCTACAGTACACAAACAAAATTCCACAGGTAGTTGCAGAATCAAGTTCTACATTATGTAATATTATTATATCTGAAAGAGGGTTAAGGTCTTTAGAGATGATTTATAAATTGTTTCATTTAGAAATAGTACCTATAGACTGGAAAACCGAGTTATCCAATCCAGAAAGATAGAACACCTTCTGCCACTTTAAATCCAGCTAGGCTTATATCCATGCCAATTGGTCTAATTGAGGTTGTTATTAAGTCCAGTCCAAGGTAATACAATGCTTTTTAAGTGATAAAATTGCTTCAATTTCCACATTCCAATTCAATGGTTGTGATTGCTTATAGCATGTAGGAGTGATATAGTGCCATACACAATGGTTATTGAAATATAGTGATTCACATGGACAACATGGACTTTCTTTGCGCTGTGAGAGGAAGTCAGAGTGACTGATGGAAGCCCGTATGTACATGTAGAGAAGATGCAACCACACACAAATGCATACACACATCATCATGTTTAGAATCCATACTACTATAGCAACTATGCTGCCCATTGTTGATAGAGTTCAAAAACTTAATTTATTAACTTTTCAAAGGGGATGCAGTTGACTATCAACAGAAACAACAAGTCCACACACATTTTTCTATATTTTATATTGTAAGAACATAAGAAACTTACAAACGAGAGGAGGCCATTTGGCCCATCAAGCTCATTTGGGGAGAACTTAACTAATAGCTCTTATTTAGCCCTGACTTAAAGGAACCCAGGGTTTTAGCTTGCGCTACACTAACAGGAAGACTATTCCATACTCCAACTACACGCTGTGTAAAGAAGTGCTTCCTCAAATTCATTGTAAAATGTTCTCCCACTAATTTCCACTTATGGAAATAAGTTCTAGTATTTAAACTAATATTGAAATAGCCATTTGGCTGAACAGCATCACAACCTGTTAGAATCTTATATACCTGGATCATGTCCCCCCTTAGTCTCCTTTGCTCAAGGCTAAACAGATTTAGCTCAGCTAACCACTCCTCATAAGATATTCGTCTAAGACCAGGAATCATTCTTGTAGCCCTATGTTGCACCCTTTCCAAGGCAGCAATGTCATTCTTAAGGTATGGTGACTAAACCTGCACACAATTTTCTAGGTGGGGTCTTACCAAGGAATTATATAATCGTAGCATCACCTCCCTTGACTTAAACTCCACACACCTAGAGATGTAACCCAACATCCTATTGGCCTTTTTTATTGCTTCCCCACACTGGCGAGAGTGGGACACAGAAGCATCAACATACACACCGAGGTCTTTCTCGTAATCAGCTACCTTTATTTCCGTGGAACCCATAAAATATCTGTACTTTATATTTCTGCTCCCTGCATGGATTACCTTACATTTATCTATGTTAAATTTCATCTGCCAAGTATCAGCCCAGTCGCTAATTAAATCCAGATCCCGGTGTATCCTCTCTGCTGCTAGATCAGTATCTGCTACACCACCCACCTTGGTGTCGTCTGCAAATTTAACCAGTTTACTTTATGTATTGGTGTCAATATCATTAATGCAAATTAGGAACAATAGTGGTCCTAAAATTGAACCCTGCGGTGCCCCACTATGAACGCAGGCCCACTGTGACATTGTGCCTCTAATAACTACTCGCTGCTTCCTGTCAGTTAACCAGTTTTTGATCCAAGCAGCTACAGTTCCTAAAATCCCTGCAGCTTTGAGCTTAAGCAAGAGCTGTTTGTGGGTGACAACATCAAAGGCCTTCTGGAAATCTAAGTAGATCACATCGTAGGTCTTTTTATGATCAATTTCCCTTGTAGCTTCCTCAAAGAACTCAAGTAAATTAGTTAAACAGGATCTAGCTCTCCTAAATCTATGTTGGCTATCTCTCAGAATGTTATTTTAATCCAGGTAATGTACCATTTTCACTTGGATTATAGCGTCCATTATTTTTCCAGTAATGCTAGTGAAACTGATTGGCCTATAGTTTGCTGGATTACTTCTAATACGTTTTTTGAATATGGGTATTATTAGCATGCTTCCAATCTGAAGGTACCACACCCGCAGATAACGATTTCTGGAATATTAAAGTTAAAGGTTGGCTAATAATATCCCTCATCTCTTTTAAAACTATAGGTAAGATGCCATCAGGGCCCTGCGATTTATTTATTTTGAGCTTAGCTAGGCTTAGTACCACATCAGCCTCAGTTATACATAAATTGGTCATAGACGATGCTGTATTCGTACTAAATGGTGGTAAGTTACTTGTGTTCTCTACTGTGAACACCCGTGTAAAATAATCATTAAATTTATTTACTATATCAATTTCATTTTCAATTATAAGGCCCTTACTATCCTGCAAATCAGTGATTTCAGCTTTTAGAGCTCTTTTGGAGTTAAAATATTGGAAGAAACTTTTATTGTCATCCTTAGCCTCCAATGAATGTTGCTCCAAGTGGGCCAGAGGCAGGAATGGAGCATGCGTATTGGTGCAGCACCACTGTCTGTCTCTGCCCTGACATCTGCATTTTGTACACAAGATCAAAGATGTGCTCCATGACCTCTCCGGGGCCTATCCAGTGGCTGTTTGGCTTGGGTGACCATCACTTGTTCCTAATGGGGCAGAACACCCAATCTGAGTGCCCAGCACGGAAGGCCTGGCCTTGGCAGGGTTCATTAGAGGCCCTCTTTTATTTAGACATTGCCGATCCTTGCTGTTGCCTGGCCAGTTCATGTACAGCCTGTAAACGTTCCATGAGGTAGCACAGGTAGTCCAGTACAGGTGCTGCTGGGTCTGCAGCTCACAGCCGAACATGAGAATGGCAGGGGTGCAATCAGTGCTCTTATGCATCGCTGGCTGATATGATATGAGATGAAACCACTCCACCAGTCTGTCGCTCTGAGGTCTTCATGATCCCCAGCCACTAGCAAACCTTGCAGAATACCTTCACCTCAGAGTTTTTCAGCTCTGGTTGGGAATCACATATGCCTCAGGCCATTTCATCAAAGAGTCCATGGCCATAAGCATGTAGTGGCTCCCAACATCACTGCAGTAAAAGGAGCCAAGGATGTCTATCGCCAGATGCAGCATGGGGGCGCCCACCAGGTATGGCTGCAGGGGAGTCCAGGACTGCCAGATAGGACCCTTCTGAGCCATGCACACCTATTATCAATGCACAAAAAACTGGATATCCTGTCTGCACATGGGCCAGTAGAAACACAGCTCCATAGGAAATTAATTTAGGTAAGGCCCCCACACTTTCCTGACCTAAATCCAACAGAACATCTCTCTGGGACAAAGGTGTCTTTGAATTCATCCCACTGTAGGTTGATAATTTTAATTCCATCAAACAATGTGGCATCCTTTCATTTCTAATACATTACCCAGTCCATATCAGTATAGACATCCAGCATGATTTTTTCCCCATTGAGATCTGATGTGTTTTCAAAGTGTTCCTTTAATTTTTTTGAGCAGTGTATGTCTCAGATGACAGGTCAGCAGCCTCAGTATCCCTGTCACCTGTTCAGCAGGAGTGGTACATGGGAGGAAAGATTTAAGGCTATGAGTTTTGAACTGTAGCAATGGAACTGATTAGGTGAAATTTGGGGAAATTCAGTGGGTCAGTGCGGATGAAGAAATACAGGGAAAAAAAAGGTTTATCAAACGGTAGGAGCCAGTAGCATAGTTTCTATCTGGAAGGGAAAGAAAAGGTCTTTCCCTCTTGACTAACTGGTGTACCTGATTGCCTTTGGGCAAAGGGAAAGAATGATTTTGGGAAGGTAGTGTCTGCCAAACTTTTAGTGGTCCACCCCAAGTCTGATTTCCAACCACATAAAGCCTAGTATTCTTTATCTAGAGAAGCTGAGTAGGGGATTACAGAAATACATGCAGGTTTGCCTATGCAGAGTTAACGGAAATAAAATAATTCAGTATTATTAAAAGAAAAAGGTGGATGTTGATGGTGATGCCACAAATTATACAGAGGCACCCAGTGTGTATAGTCTGGAATTCACGCTTCTGCAGAGAGATCTGACAGAAAGACTGATATGGATGCTTGAGGCAAAGGACCAGCTATTACCAGCTTGTCAGGTCTGGTTATGCTCTCCTCCTTGGGTGGAACAGTCCAACGGCAAAGAGTCGCTGCTGGGAATGGGGCACATTTTTTGGTTCCTAGCATAATTGGCCAGGTGAATACCTGTGATGGCTGCTGGGATAATGGAGATGGTCAAAAAAAGATTGGAAATCTTGTGTAATGCTAAAAACAAAACACCTGGTTGAATATCTTACAACTAATTAGCTTAATTGGCAACAGGTCAGTAAGATTACTGGGTATAAAAAGAGTCTCCCAGAGAGCCAGAGTCTGTGAAGTGAAGATGGAGAAAGGTTCATCACTCTGTGAAAGACTGCATGGGCAAATAGTGCAACAATTTCCTCAAATATCCTCAAAGTAATATTGCATTGAATGTGAGAATTTCATAATCTACAGTAGACAGTATAATTAAACGATTCAGAGAGTACATAAGTCTCTGTATGCAAAAAATAAGGCCGAAAACCAGTATTGGATAGACGTGGTCTTCGGGTCTAAAGAGGAGAGGGACGATCCAGTTTGTACAGATATGCTGCCATCCAGACAATGTGTTTTTCAAAGAAAGCCTTGTATATTTCAGCAAGACAATGCCAAACCTAATTCTGTGCATATTACACTAGAAGGGGCGGCATGGTGGTGCAGTGGTTAGCACTGCTGCCTCGCACCTCTGGGACCTGGGCTCGAGTGTCCGCCTGGGTCACATGTGTGTGGAGTTTGCATGTTCTCCCCGTGTCGTTGTAGGGTTTCCGCTGGGTGCTCCAGTTTCCCCCCACAGTCCAAAGACATGCTGAGGCTAATTGGCATTGTTAAATTGCCCTTAGGTGTGCATGTGTGAGTGAATGGTGTGCGAGTGTGCCCTGTGATGGGCTGGTCCCCCATCCAGGGTTGTTTCCTGCCTCGTGCCCGTTGCTTCCGGGATAGGCTCCGGACCCCACGCTACCCAGTAGGATAGGCAGGTTGGACAATGGATGGATGGATGGATTGCACCAGAATGGATGCATAGTAAAACAGTTCAGGTGCTAGACTGGCCTGCCTGCAGTCTAGACCTGTCACCCATTGAACACATTTGGCACATCATGAAACAAAAAAATTTCACAAAGGGGACCTGAACTGTTCAGCAGTTGAAATCCTGAATCAGGCAAAAAATGGGACATTTCCCTGGTCGTCTCAGTTCCCAAATGTTTACAGAGTGTTGTTAAAAGAACAGGTGATGCAACACAGTGGTAAGCATGCCCCTGTCCCCACTTTTTTGAAATGTATTGCTGGCATCAAATTCAAATCAAACACATATTTGTCATTTCAACATTTGATACATTGTCCATCCATCCATTTTCCAACCCACTTATCCTACTGGGTCATGGGGGGGTCCAGAGCCTATCTCCGAAGCAATGCACACAAGGCATAGAACAATCCATGATGGGGGGCCAGTCCATCACAGGGCACACTCACACACCTATGGGCAATTTAGGAACTCCAATAAGCCTCAGCATGTCTTTGGACTGTAGGGAGAAACCGGAGTGCCCGGAGAAAACCCCACGACGACACAGGGAGAACATGCAAACTCCACACACATGTAACCCAAGCAGAGACTTGAACCCAGGGCCCACAGGTGTGAGGCAACAGTGCTAACCACTGCACCACCATGTCGCTCCCTTGATATGTTGTCTTTGTTCTATTTTCAAATAAATAATGGTTTATAAGATTTGAAAATTCTGTTTTTATTTTACACAGCATCCCAACTTTTTTGGAAACAGGGTTGTAATAATTAATTAACCTTCAAAATACTGTGAAGAAATGCTTTGCTATATTTGTTGTAGTAGGTACAGCTGCATATGCATTTTTTGAATTTGGGTACATGCTCAGTGGCTAGCACTGTTGCTTCATCCCTGCCAGGCCTACCCCCCTTCTTTGTGTGCGTTATTTTGTGGTTATGTTATCATTCTGTTGTGCTGGTTTCCTCTTAAAATCCAATGATTTGCAGTTATGTGAATTGGATTCTCACAAACTGACCATAGTTTATGAGTGTGTGCTGGATAACAGACTGATATCCTCTCAAGAGAATTCCTGCATGCTCCATTGACCCTGTATTGGATAAGTGCTAAATAACTGGATTATTAAACCTTTTTTATTCTTAAAACCAGGATTAAATTAAACTCAGTCAAAGAATGTAATCTGGCTACTCAACAGATCATGTGGTTCATTTTAAACATTTTAGTTGCTGGCCCAGTATCTTAACCTCTGTATTACCTGTCCTAGCAGGCACCAGAGAGGCGGCCTTTGTGTATGCCATCTCCTCAGCAAGTGTAGCCCTAGCAGTGACTCAGGCGTGCAGTAGTGGGGAACTGGAGAAGTGTGGATGTGACCACAATGTGCATGGCATCAGCCCAGAGGGTAGGCCTCAGATATTTACACTGGCTTTACTCTGAATTCAGTTTACATTGCCATAGCACCTTTCACAACACGTTTGCCCCAAGGCATTTGATAAGAGTATACTATGTTCCCTAATGTCTCTGTATTGCATCTATGTTACCTGCATACATCTTGGCTCAAGCATACCACTATTTCTGTATACCTTGAGCTTAATGCTGGGTGGTGATCACACAGACCCTGATCACACTCTGTCATCCTGCAGGGTTCCAGTGGTCTGGCTGCTCAGACAACATTGCTTATGGTGTTGCATTCTCCCAATCATTTGTGGATGTGAGGGAGAGAAGCAAAGGCTCCTCATCAAGTAGGGCACTGATGAACCTCCACAATAATGAGGCTGGGAGGAAGGTAAAATTAACCGAGGGTTGACTGTTTTATTTGAAAACAAACTGTATACTCTAGCAATGTTTAATTTGTTGAAAATAAATGATTGTTTTATAATGAAATTAGAGCTTCAAGTAAATGTTTGCTGTTTACATTAATGCACAGATATACAGTTAAGGTCAGAATTATTAGCCACCCTTATGAAATCACACAAAACCCTTAATATTTCCATGTAAATTACCATACCAAAAACGCTTAATACTTGTATTGTTTCCAAAAGAACAAAGACACAATCTCCACAAAGTTTGACTAAGAATTTCTATTTATATGCTGAATTTTAACAATAAAACTGAAAAATGACAAGGCTAAAATCTTAGCCCCCCCTCCCCATGTTTTTTTTTCTCTTTCAAGATAAACCTGACCATTCAATTAGCTTTAAAACCAGACCTGAACATTCAATTAACTTTCACACCACACCTGAGTAATCAATCAGAATTGAACTTTACATAAGGAGCTCTGGTTAACAGGGCCAGTGGCATTGGACTACTCTGACACTTTTGGTAAGAAGCAATTTCATCATGCCAAAAAAAAAAAAGAAATTAGTCTGGACCTCAGAAAATGGATAGTAGATGTTCATCGTGAAGGTAAAGGCTACACTGCCATTTCCAAAGTTTCACAGTGTCTAGGACAGCTGTACGGTGCATCATTGCAAAGCACCAGAAGCCAAAATCTGTTGCAAACAAATCTGAGCGTAGCCGAAAGCTTAAGATTTCAAAAACTTTGGAGAGAAAAATAATCAGAGATGTCAACAAGGATCCCGGGTCTCTGCTAAGGTGACTGTTGCTGAGCTGGCCTCTTCTGGAGTTTATGTATCAAGGAAGACAGTTGTGAGAGCTCTTCATTGTGGAGGACTTCGAGGTCACTGTCCAAGAAAAACTCCTTTGCTGAAACAACAGCACAACAATGCCCGATTGAAGTTTGCCCATGAACATTTGAAACATAGTAATGAGTTTTGGAAGTCTGTTCTTTGGTCTGATGAGACTAAACTTTGAGCTGTTTGGGCACAGGGATGTTGCTTTTGTTTGGAGAAGGAAGAGGTGAGGCCTTCAACCCTAAAAACACAGCTCCCACTGTTAAACATGATGGCTGGAGCATCATGTTGTCGTTCGTGTTCATGGGGTCATGAAAAAAAAGCAGTATGTTAACATTTTGAAGAATAATTTAAAGAAATCTGCTGCAAGTCTTGCTTTAGGATGCCGCTGGGTATTTCAGCAAGATAATGACCCAAAGCATACCTCCAAGTGGGTCACAAACATCAAAATCAGGGTACTGGAGTGGCCCTCACAGAGCCTGGATCTCAATCCCATTGAAAGGTTAATGTCCATGCTCGAAAACCATGCAATCTGGATGAACTGGAATGATTTTCCATGGAAGAGTGGGCTCGTATACTTCAAGAAACATGTGCCAACCGAGTTAAGAACTACAGGGAGAGGTTGTTGTCAATTGTAAGACAGAGAGGCCACACTATTGACCATTAAATGTCAGGGGGGGCTAATAATTTTAATAATAACCTTATCATTTTTCAGCTTTCTTGTTAAAATTCCGCACATCAATAGAATATCTTAATCAAACTTTGTGGAGATTTTGTCTTTGTTCTTTTGGAAGCAATACAAGTATTAGTTTTTGTTATGGTAATTTCCATGGAAATATTAAGGGTTTTGTGTGATTTCATTGGGGGGACTAATAATTCTGACTTTAACTGTACCTAATTTATCATACATACATACACAGGTGACCCAAAACATTATGACCACCGCCACATGTTGTGAATAACACTGGCTATCTTGTACAAATGGAACATGTCAAGGTCTGGGATATATTATACTGTAAGCTGACATTTGTTACTCATCGTCATGTGTTGAATGTAGAAGAAATGGGCAAGGATAAAAACATGAATGACTTTGGTACAGGCCATATTGTTAATGCCAGATGACAGATCAGAGCATCTCCAAAACAGCAAGGGTTGATGGGGTGCTCATAGTCAGCCAAAGTGTGCGGGTTGTCAGTTACTGGCATTAAACATCATGCAGCAGATATTTGGCTTTTTTTGCGATGTCATTAGTTTGCACTGACATTTTGAAGTCAGATAGTGGGAAGTGCAATTTGTTTTTCCAAGTGTTGGGCATGATTTTTGTTATGTATCATTTAACTGAATTTGGTATTACTGAGCTTATGGTGTACAAAAAAATAAATATATTTCATATTTCAATCAGTTCAAACACTCCTCAAGAATCATAAGATAATTAAGATGCATCAAACTGTTGTGTAACAAATAAGCTTGCAAACACAAATAAACTCAGTGTAACCTCAAGACTACCATTGAGACTGACTTGCATGAGGAATTGTTGTTATGACAAAATAGATGAAAATTTCTGTTTATTTTAATGGAAACATGCCGTAATGACTTGTTGGATTGTTGTCATGTTGATTTCCTCTGGCATCCAGGCTATCTTGAACAACATGCGTGTGGAGTGCAAATGCCATGGAGTCTCAGGCTCCTGTGAGGTGAAGACTTGTTGGAGGGCTATGCCCCCTTTCCGCAAGGTGGGAACTGTGATCAAAGAGAAGTTTGATGGTGCAACTGAGGTGGAGCAGCGAAAGATTGGCACCACAAAAGTGTTGGTGCCCAAGAACTCCCAGTTTAAACCACAAACAGAGGAGGATCTAGTCTATTTGGACCCCAGCCCGGACTTCTGCGACCATGATGCCAAGAGTGGGGTTTTAGGCACAGCTGGCCGGTATTGCAACAAGACCTCCAAGGCCATTGATGGCTGTGAGCTGATGTGCTGTGGGCGTGGCTTCCATACAGAAGAGGTGAAGGTAGTGGACAGGTGCAGTTGCAAATTCCATTGGTGCTGCTATGTGAAGTGTAAGCAGTGCCGTAAAAAGGTGGAGATGCACAATTGCCGGTGATCCTGATCAATTCACAGCCATGTCGGAACACAGGACTAGGAAAATATCTAACAGCACAAAACAGCAGGTATACATATATGCAATTACAGATGACCATTGGAAAGAAATATAAACATAGAAATAATAGAAACAAAAAAAATCTAATTTAAAGTCCCAAAGGATTTTTGTGATTGTTATTTTCGCCTGTTGAGTCTTTGTTTTGGTTGCTTTTTATTTTTGTATGTTTTTAACTTTTTATTTATTGTAACAGGATTGTGAGAATCCTGAAGTAGCATTGCTCCCAAATACTGGATAAAGAGAGATTAAGTTTAGTATCATATGGGACCAAGGCCATAGTTTGGAATTTGGGTAGAGTTTGGGATTTGGGTAGGCGTAGACAGAAGAGTGTTTCTCCTGTGTTATTGATGGTGCTTTAGAATAATTTCATAGTAGCCAGATGTGCATTTCCCTATTTCAACTGTATGTGGCCGTTATCTAAAGTCCAATGTTCAATTTTACAGGAATATTAAGTACCTGCTTAATATACAACACACCCTGGACTATTATTGGCCTGCATGTCCACATGGTTGGAACCAATCAGCTAATCCAGTGAGCATAGAGCTACCTTTTAATTAGTATTCTTTTATGACAACAGGGTGGCTCCCAGTGTTTGAGTGGGTTAACACGTCAATATGTGAAAAAATACATATGAGAGCAGGGGGGTATTCCATGAAAGTAGCTAAATAAAGCCAGACTTACGCGAAAAAGTGAGACTCAAATTAGCTCCATCTCGAAACTTAGCCTCATGTAGTTCCACGAACGCAGTTCGGCTTTAACTAATCGAGGCTTATTCAAGGCAGACTTGCATAGTCTCACTTAGTGCGCACACCCGCGATATTTAAGAAGCCCAAATGAATGGATGAATGATAGATCGACCAAATGAGTCGGAAAGTGTTTAAAACGAGATCGGTGTTTCTTTCCACCGCAGAACAAACGCTGCTGATGGAGCTGTATGAAAAATGCACAGATGTAATCGTTAAAAAAGGCAATACTGTGGCCATAAACACAGCCAGAGAGTTGGCTTGGCAATGCATTACAGACAGATTAAATGCACAAGTTACGTAACTGTTGCAAGTGCTTGGCACAGTGGTACAGTGGTTTATGCTGTCGCCTTATAATGCGAAAGTTGCTGGTTCGATTCCCATAGCCAAGTGGGAACCAGCTGGGTTGAGTTCCCATGTCATTGTTATTGTATAATATTATTTGATCTCCGTAAAATACTTTCAGTCACATCCGTGTGAAATGTTCTGCACAAATAACTGTATCTTGTCTTTGCTTTTCACTTATAAACTTTCAAAGTAGACTGTGACTAAACAAAATATAAAAATATCTTCCTGTTCATATTATTTTAACAGATTTTCTTTCAATTTCAGTCATTGCATTTCATGTTTGACCTTTGTAAAAATGTACGCTTTTATTTTACAGTAAAATACCGTTATAACGGACTTCAAGGGACCTGGCAAAACAGTTAGTTATATCCAGAGTTGCTGTATGCCCAGAACACAACTACATGACACTCACTCATGCCACACCCTAGCAGACACACTTGTGGTATAGATTATTATATTGTACATGTAGTAATCCAACTTTACCTAACCAGATACGTGACTATTAATAATCCCGACTACGTACGTATCTGCGCTGGATATCACCGGCACGCCACAGCCTTGTAGGCGGAACTGCATGTCCGTTATAGCCGAACAGAACCACATCTAAAAGCGGCCCTGGAGACGAAATTGTTTGTCCATTATAAGCGAAATTCCGTTATATGCGAGTCTGCTATATCCGATGCTTTTTCTGCATGTTCGTAAAGGCGCACGGCCGGGACCAGCAAACCTCGTCAGTTATAGACGATATTCCGTTATAAGCGAGTCCACTATAACGGGATTTTACTGTAATTATTTTGGAATTAATTGGAATGCTAAGACGTGATTTTATAGGCTTTATTATATTGATTATGTAGCAATCTCAGCTCTGTTCTCCGTATTATGAAAGTATCACGCAGAGCTTTACTTACGTAAAGAACGTTGGTTTTTATTCACTGCTTTCTCGTCTTGCTTTTACTCATAGCACTGACTACACTGACTCATTATCCCGCTAACTCAAACAAAATCATGTCATTTTGGTACACCTTACAAATTAACAAAAAAATCAATCAGATAATGTAAAATATAATGTCAGATAACATATAATTCAACAGATTACATGACATGAATAGTAAAATCGCGAAATGTCGTCCGACGGAACGATCTTTTGGGAATCTGTTCCCACACGACGGACGTTCTTTGAGACAACGCTAAACTAAGCGAGACAGTTAGCCTGGTCCCGAGCAGACTTGTTCGGAGGTGCAAGTTACCATGGCAACTCAGCGGGGATTCATTTAAGACACGTTGATGGAACGGAACTCTCACCTAAATAAGACAGACTTATCGAAATAAGCCAGACTTTCCCTTAATCCTGCTTCCTGGAATACCCCCCAGGTATATTTACACTGTCTGTGGAGTGTGATTGTTTACGTGAGTGAATGCTTAGCAATGGACCGGCAGAGTGTCCCCTGTTTCTTACTCTGTGCTTCCTTAGATGGGCTCCAACTTTAGAATCAAAATGAAGTTTATTTGCCAAGGAATATTTACACGTGGAATTTAATTTGGTGCGAACTGTGCAGATGTAACGACAGACAGACATGGCTATACAAAGAAAAATTATGTGAAAAAGAAAATATATTGTAAATGTGATATATATATTCACACACACAGTTCCTTGAACATGTATTCATACCCATTTCGTCCCCTTACAACAGGGGTGTCAAACTCCAGTCCTGGAGGGTCAGAGCCCTGTGTGGCTTAGTTCTTTCCCTGTTCTACCACAAATGATTCAGCTCGAGAGCTGTGTGGTAATTAGCACAAGGAGTTGAATCAGGTGTGTTAAATGAGTGTAGGACTGGAGTTTGGCACTCCTGCATTACAACCACAAAGTTAAATGTATTTTATTGGAATATTATGTGATAGACCACCACAAAGTAGCGCATAATTGTGAAGTGGAAAGAAAAGGATACATGCTTTTCAAAAACATTTTTTTAATATGCCTATTCTTCTTTGCAAAATAGCTCAAGGTCAGTCAGATTTGATGGAGAGTGTCTGTGAACAGCAATATTCAAGTCTTGCCACAGATTCTCAATGGGATTTAGGTTTGAACTTTGGCTCGGTCATTCTAACACATGAATATGCTTTGCTATTCCATTATAGCTCTGGCTGTATGTTTAGGGTTATTGTCCTGCAGGAAGGTGAACCTCCGCCCGAGTCTCAGGTCTTCTGTAGCTTCTAAGTCTTTTGTAGGTTTTCTTCTAGGATTGCACTGAATTTAGCTCCATCCGTCTTCCCATCAACTCTGACCAGATTCTCTGTCCCTGCTGAAGAAAAGCATCCCCACAGCATGATGCTACCACCACCATGTTTCATGGTGGGGATGGTGTGTTCAGGGTGATGTGCAGTGAGTTTTCCACCACATATAGTGTTCTGTATTTAGGCCAAAATGGCTGACTCCACACCTTCTTCTGTGCCCCCTACATGGCTTGTGGTAAACTGCAAACGAGACTTCTTATCGCTTTCTTTCAGAAATGGTTTTCTTCTTGCCACTCTTCCATAAAGGCCAGATTTCTGGAATACACGACTACTAGTTTTCCTGTGGTCAGATACTCCCATCTGAGCTGTGGATCTCTGCAGCTTCTCCAGAGTGACCATGGGCCTCTTGGCTGCTTCTTTGATTAGTGCTCTCCTTGCCCGGCCTGTCACTTTAGGTGGACGGCCATGTCTTCGTACTGTAGGTTTGCAGTTGTGTTATACTCTCCATTTTCGGATGATGGATTGAACAGTGCTCTGTGTGATGTTTAAAGCTTGGGATATTTTTTTATAACCTAGGGTGACCAGATAATCCATGTCATCCTGGACACCTTGAGCTAGGACAGGATTTGTCACCTACCATTTCAATTAAAAGGACCTGGATTTCACTTAAGCACCAAGTTCTTGTTGCGTGCTGATTGGTCAGTGTCCGATAATCATGCACGTGTCACTAATGTTAATGTGAAACAGCTGGATAAGTCTTTCAGTCAAGGAAACAAACCAGTCAAAGCACAAGAAGAACTGAACAATTTAGCCAAGCGCAGGAGCCTTTCGGTTTTAAGGTAGTTTGTAAAACCTGAAGTAGCTCAAGGTGTACGGGATGACATGAATTATCTGGTCACCCTATATAACCTAACCCGGCTTTAAACTTCACAACTTTATCCCTGACCTGTCTGGTGTGTTCCTTGGTCTTCATGATGCTGTTTGTTCACTATTGTTCTCTAATAAACCTCTGAGGCCTTTGCAAAACATCTGTAATTATATTAAGAATAAATTACACACAGGTGGACTCTATTTACTAATTAGGTGTCTTCTGAAGGCAATTGGTTGCATTAGATTTTACTTAGGGGTACAGGGGGCTGAATACAAATAATTTTTATTTTTAAAAATCTTTGAAAAGCATGTATCATTTTCTTTCCACTTCACAATTATGCACTACTTTATGTTGGTCTATCACATGAAATCCCAATAAAATACATTTAAGTTTGTCGTTGTAACATGACAAAATGTGGAAAAGTTCAAGGGGTATGAATACTTTTTCAAGGCACTGTGTATATATATACAGTATGTATTCAGCTAGTGTAAACATGCTATCACAGTGAATGCGAGGCTGAGACTGAAGCCTTACCTTATGTTTCCTCTGAGAGACGTGCCATGTGACTAATTTCCCCGCGTGTACAAGTTATCTTAGGTCGGCGTTCACGGTTTGACTTCTGAGATTCAGATCAAGTTCTAGGTAATTTTTTTTCGAACTGGTTGGTTTGACTTTTAAGAAATTCGAGTTCTAATGAGTTCGAGAACTGAGGTACCACTGTATTTTGTTTAGTTACTTATGGTTAAGGTTAGGGCTGGGTAGGGGTTAAGGTCCTCATGTTGAGATTAGAGTTTTCCCCATAGAAATGAATGGAGAATCCCCACAAACATATAATTACAAACCAGTGCTTGTGTTTATTTAAGATTTCTGTTTAGTTGTTTATGTGTGTGTGTGTGTGTGTGTGTGTGTGTGTATATATATATATATATATATATATATATATATAGTGGAGGAAATAATTATTTGACCCCTCACTGAATTTGTAAGTTTGTCCAATGACAAAGAAATGAAAAGTCTCAGAACAGTATCATTACAATGGTAGGTTTATTTTAACAGTGACAGATAGCACATCAAAAGGAAAATTGAAAAAATAACTCTAAATAAAAGATAGAAACTGATCTGCATTTCATTGAGTGAAATAAGTATTTGAACCCCTACCAACCATTAAGAGTTCTGGCTCCCACAGAGTGGTTAGACACTCCTACTCAATTAGTCACCCTCATTAAAGACACCTGTCTTAACTAGTCACCTGTATGAAAGACATCTGTCCACAGACTCAATCAATCAAGCAGACTCCAAACTCTCCAACATAGGAAAGACCAAAGAGCTGTCCAAGGATGTCAGAGACACAATTGTAGACCTGCACAAGGCTGGAATGGGCTACAAAACCATTAGCAAGAAGCTGGGAGAGAAGGTGACAACTGTTGGTGCAATTGTTCAAAAATGGAAGGAGCACAAAATGATCATCAATCGACCTCGGTCTGGGGCTCCACGCAAGATCTCACCTTGTGGGGTGTCAATGATTCTGAGAAAGGTGAGAAATCATCCTAGAACTACACGGGAGGAGTTAGTTAATGACCTCAAAGTAGCTGGGACCACAGTCACCAAGAAAACCATTGGAAACACAGTACACCGCAATGGATTAAAATCCTGCAGTGCTCGCAAGGTCTCCCTGCTCAAGAAGGCACATGTGCAGGCCCGTCTGAAGTTTGGCAATGAACACCTGAAATATTCAGAGAGTGACTGGGAGAAGGTGCTGTGGTCAGATGAGACTAAAATTGAGCTCTTTGGCATTAACTCAACTCGCCGTGTTTGGAGGAAGAAAAATGCTGCCTATGACCCCCAAAACACC